CCACTGCCCAGCCCCAGAACCCCATTACCCAGCTCCAGCAGCCCACTGCCCAGCCCCAACAGCCCACTGCCCAGCTCCAGCAGCCCACGACCCAGCCCCAAAATACAGCCCAGCCCGCTGCTACCCAGTCCGACACTCCCCCAAACACCCACCCCATGACCACCCGTTCCAAATCCGGAATAACACGCCCCAAACAAATCCTCAACCTTAACATCACCAGCCCAATTTCTCCTCTCCCTCCTACCTACCGTAGTGCGCTAAAAGATCCAAACTGGTATGATGCAATGTGTGATGAATTTAATGCTTTGATTCGCAATAATACATGGGAACTAGTACCCCCCTCCCCCACCCAAAATGTAATCTCAGGGAAGTGGCTATTCTGTCACAAATTTGGTCCTACAGGGGATTTGTCCAGATATAAAGCTCGTTGGGTAGTCCGTGGGTTTAATCAGCGTTATGGCGTTGACTACAGCAAAACGTTCAGTCCGTTCATTAAACCCGCCACCATTCGCATTGTCCTTAGTCTCGCTTTGTCTCGGGGTTGACCCGTTCATCAGCTAGATGTCAAAAATGCTTTTCTTCATAGACATCTTCAGGAGACAGTTTATGCTAGCCAACCATCCGGCTTTGAGGACCCATCCCGGCCCCACTATGTCTGCAAACTTAAGAAAGCTCTCTATGGCTTAAAACAGGCTCCTCGATCTTGGTACCAGCGGTTTGCCGGCTTCCTTCAGCACATCGGGTTTCAGGGATGCAAGACGGACACTTCTCTGTTTGTTTACTCTCATGGCTCGCACATGGCATACCTCCTTCTATATGTTGATGATATTGTCCTCACCGCCTCATCCTCTGCCCTTCTCACACGGATCACGGACCGTCTGAAGACTGAGTTTGCTATGACCGACATGGGTGAGTTACACTTCTTTCTTGGGATCAATGTTCAGCGCACCAAGGAAGGTCTCTTCTTACATCAGACTCAGTTTGCTCATGATATCCTGGACAAAGCAGGCATGCTTCACTGTAAGCCCATCTCCACTCCTGTCGACTCCAAAGGGAAAATGTCTGCCACCTCAGGCGAACCTGTTGCGGATCCATCCCTCTATCGCTCTCTTGTAGGAGCCCTCCAGTACCTCACATTCACCATGCCGGATCTCACCTATGCAGTTCAGCAGCTCTGTCTCTATCTCCACTCGCCCCGGACCACTCACCTCACGGCATTAAAACGAGTCATGCGCTATCTTCACGGTACCACCACTCATGGGATCACTCTCACTTGCTCCTCGCCAGACTTTCTTCGGGCCTATTCCGATGCCGACTGGGCTGGGTGTCCAGACACACGCCGCTACACCTCTGGCTACTGTGTTTTCCTAGGGGACAACCTGGTCTCATGGTCTTCCAAAAGGCAACAAACCACCTCTCGATCGAGTGCTGAGGCTGAATACAGGGCGGTCGCAAATGCCGTAGCAGAAACCAGTTGGATACGTAATCTACTTCTTGAGCTTCATCAACCACTGCGCCGAACCACCATCATCTTTTGTGATAATGTCAGTGCCATCTATCTGTCCTCCAACCCTGTCCAGCACCAACGCACCAAGCATGTGGAAGTTGACATTCACTTTGTTCGAGACAAGGTCGCTTTAGGTCATGTTCGTGTTCTTCATGTACCATCCTCCTTGCAGTACGCCGAAATCTTTACGAAAGGACTACCGTCACTTCTCTTCACCGACTTCAGACAGAATCTCGAAGTCCGTAGTTCACCAACGGAGCTGGTAGCATGTTAAATATGTAAAGTGTATATTACATATTTAATATTATTGTTATATTTGGTAGATTCCTTGATTCTATAGGATTTGTATTTAATATTGTTTCCTTTCCAATACACCTCCTACATGTATATAAAGGGGGGTGATTTACTTGTAATTCATCATCAAATAATACAATTCTTCACTATCCCCAAATCCCTAACCAGTGGTCGGGTCTGCACAACTGGAGGCACGGTCCTCCCAACCACGACCATTTTTGGGGGCCCGATGGGCCTGACGTGGATCCACCTTTTCCGGGGAGCCCCGGCATCAAAAGCTCTGAGCAATGTCCGATGGGCTCGGGATCTTCTCTTGCAGAAATTGGCTCTCTGGTTCTCTCTACTGCTCACCCTCTGAGCAAATCAAAGCTTTCCCACTTGGGTTATTGCAGGTGGCGTGAGGAGGGAATGCCCATTGGAGTCTGTCAACCGCCGGATAAGCCTGCCAGACCTCCATTACCCATTCTAGTTAGTGAATTTATACTCCTATTTAGTTCTCTAATCTTCCACTTTAGCTGTATCAAATGAATTTTTTATACTTATCCTATTTTATTTTGACTCATTTTCAGTTTAGTTAAGTTCATATCATCATGCTTTCTGTTAAGTTATACTCAACTAACATTTGGTTAAATATGATTAAGTTAAATTTAGTTCACCAAAAAATGGACTCCAAATTATTGAGAATTATCAAAATGCCCCTTAAGAGATTATTGTCATTGTTGTCATCAATAAAGAACAAGCTCGTATTATGTTTTTTTTGTTACTTTACCCTCATTCATAAAATTTGAGGTGTTTAGGACTTTAGGAAAGTGGACAAGTAAATTCAGAGTGAATATATTGTTTGTTTTCATTTTTGCGATGTATTATAATGATGATTGAAGGCAAGAGGGAAATTTATGCAGCATTTGATTTTTACTTAATCCAGCTTTCACCAAAAGAAATCCCATCTCACAAACAATTGGGGTTACCCCTTAATGCCTATATGCTTCATAATCTTGCTCATGTGGAATTAAATTCCATTGATTTGGCATGGGACACTGTTGTTCGATTTTCACCATATCTTGAGCTCCTTGGTGAGGGATTCTTTGCTGATTTTGCTCATGTGGCTGATGACGAGAGCCGCCATTTCGCTTGGTGTTCTCAGAGATTGGCTGAGCTAGGGTTCAAGTGAGTAGACTTCCAATGTCACAATGTAAGGTGTTATAGTTTTGCTTGGTGGATTTTAATTTGTTTTTGTCGTCTTTTCCTTGAACCCACAGATATGGTGACATGCCTGCTCACAATCTGCTTTGGAGAGAATGTGACAAGACATCTTGTGACATTGCTGCACGCCTGGCTGCTATCCCACTAGTCCAGGTCCATATGAAGAAGAACACACCGACATTGAATTGCTAGTTTTAGATGATCATATGTTGCGCAGTATACATTTATAACTAAACATATCTAATGATAAAAAGTTATAGTTTTGGAACAACAAATAAGCTACTAGCCCTTCTGGCATTCTTGGATTTCATTCTAAATGGTTTTAGCTTTGAAATCAAGTTGAAGCCATGTGGTTAAAATTCTCGTTAGGCATGTTTCGGTGTACAATTAAATCTAATCCAGTGATCTTTTCTTTTTTAGTCGAGGGTTTATTGCAAATCGTCGCTCTACCCTTCACAGGAAGAGTTAAGCTTCATAGACCCAGCTATGGGAATACATTGGCTATGTTGTTGATGATTCAAGTATTTTTATTATCAGTTATTATGTTATTCCTTCAATTTTTACAAAAAATCAAATATATTTCAACCTACAAACTTAGGGTGTTCTTTGGACTTGGATGGAAGTTATTGAAATGTTATATAGTCACGTACGGAGTATTAGGTTAAGCTTTTAAGTTTTGACATCCAAAGCATTTACTTCGAAACCAGACCAAAACCCTTCAATGTAATGATGTAGGAGGCTAGAGGTCTAGATGCTGGTCCCCGACTTGTGCAAAAATTAATTGGCTTTGGAGATCACAGGACTGCAGACATCGTGGCCCGAATTGCAGCTGAAGAAGTAGCACATGTCGCAGTTGGTGTATCCTGGTTTTCTTCTGTTTGTCAGAAGATGAATCACCCACCTTGCAATACTTTTAAAGGTCAGTAGTTCTTTAGTTTGTGCTAAGAGCTAATACCCAGTGAATTCCCTCCACTATATATATATGTGTGTGTGTGTGTGTGTGTATACACACACGCACGCACACACACACACACATCACTTACATATTTTGCAGATTTGTTGAAGGAGTATGATGTGGAGCTGAAGGGACCATTCAACTATACAGCCAGAGATGAAGCTGGGATCCCAAGGGAATGGTAAGGGAAGTGTAATCATTTCAATGATAAAATTATCTTAGATTCTCAAATAAACTTAGAGAACTTTGCATCTTATGCTGGCCAGGTATGCTTCTTTATCCTTCAAGAAAGAAGAAGATCAAACACCTCTTTCTCAGGTATCTTATGCATATACTATGATATGAAAAAGAGATTTGTGAATATTAATACACTGGATGTAAAAGTGGAAGTGATGCTCTAGTTTTAGCCAACCAATTCTATTGAAATTCCATTACCATCTTCAGTTAACGTGAAAACAATATAAAGAGATCTTGAAATACTTTATAGGTGTATGATAGACTGGCTTGCATAGTTTCTATGGAAAAGGAGAACTCTAACATGCAGAGTTGATTCCAACCAATCTCCAAGAAGAAAGTTACTGGTACATTTCTTTGAGGTGATAATTTGAACTCCAAAGTGGTTAGTCTGCTGACATTTGATTCTAATAGATTAGACATTTTTGTCAAAATCATTAACTCTTGTTTTTAATAATGTAAAACTTACTAGTTCTTACCAGAAATTGAGAGCACCCCAAATTACTTTTTTAGGTTCAAAATTTGTTACTCTTAAGCAATCAAAACTAGGGAGTAATTGATTTTGAAGGCATTAGTCTATGTTTCGTGTGTTTACTTTTGAGTGTCTATTTTTCTAAAATATTATTACTCCATAATGTTTTTTATTACTCTCTCTGTCCAAAATTAAGTTGCGTGTGCACTATTTAAACGGTTTAACTTCATTAACTTTCTTTTCCTTTTTTCGTTAGTCATTCGATATAATAATAAATTTATGTCACCTCTTGTGTCCAAAATTAAGTTGCGTGTGCACTATTTAAACGGTCAAACTTCATTCACTTTCTTTTCTTATTTTCGTTAGTCATTCGATATAATAATAAATTTATGTCACCTCTTGACTCGTAAAACTTTTGATGTAATTTTTAAATATGTAAATTTTATTTTTTATTCCAACAAAATTCTCAAATAAATTGTCTTGAGTTTAGTTTTAGTCAAACACCTTAAAGTGAAACAGACGATTTAAATTGGGGCGATTTTAATTTTAAAAAAATTAAATTGAAATATGGAACTGCATGCTCTTCGGCTTAATTTTCAGGCCAACCTTCAATACTCCCTCGTCCCAAATTATTTGCAACACTTTGAACGAAATGTAAAATATCATCTTATTTAAAATATCATTTTATTTACAAATTGGTAGAGAAACAAAAAGTAAAAATTATACCGTTAAAAAGTACATCAAAAGTTCTACAAAACAAGAGAATATTTTATTTTATCATATGGTCAACCAAAACGAGTAAACAAACAAGAGTAATCGATGACTACTACATAAGTACAAAGCACAACTAAAAAAATAAATTAAAGAAGCCAACCTCAATGAAACATCCAAAGGAACAAAATGATTTTTCAAAAATGAAATCAGAGCCGCATACCTCCAGGGAGAAAAAAATCAAAGAAATCATAATTTTTGGGAAAGAAAACATATGTCTAATAAGCTAGTTGAGTTGCACCGGGGACGGGTACGTATACACGTATGAGATTTGAAGAATGAAAAATGTTAACTTTTCCAAAAGTTAAGGGTCCGTTTGGTACACAGAATTGACAGAATTAGAATTGAATTGGGAGTTGAAATACACGTTTGGTACACTTAATTAGCTTATTCAAACTCAGCATATGTAAGAAATTAAACTTTATAGCTTTAGAAGCTTAATTAATTAATATGCCTCTGAAAGTAACAAAAAAGATGCATTATAAAAACATCCATTTTACGTTTACTTGTCTTCTTCAGCTAATTACATCATGATCTTTGTCTCCAAACCACAGGTCCAGAATTCCTTGGCTCTCTAATTAACACACTCAGTGGTCTTATTAGTTCTCGAAAGCGGCTATATTTGATCACCTAGGCACCGATTAATATATTCTCTTCTTGATTGCCAATATATCTTTTTGGCTAGATTCCCAGCCTCGATATAGGATCACGTAGACAAGTTAAGCTATGAGTCCTTATTTAGTTAAATACATGACTCGTGAGGATGAAAATATTTAGACAAAAGACTTAGATTTTTCCGATGTGATAAATGCTGATGCATTTATAAGTTTCATCAAGGATGCCCGCATTTCATTTGGTACACCATCTTCTCTTCAGGGCATATTCACTGTTAGTGAAAAAGATAAGGAGAATTTGTATTTTATAAATTTGCAATACCGAGATTTACTATTACAACTAGTTATGCGTGTGAATGATTTATATCTCATCGGTTGTAGTAGTAGTGAATCTTGGTATTACAAATTTACAAAACACAGATTTTCTTTATCTTTTACACTAACAGTGAAACCTGAAGAGAAGATGGTGTAGCAAATGAAATGCGGGCATCCTTGATGAAAGTTACAAATGTATCAATTTTTATCACATCAAAAAATATTAGTCTTTTGTCAAAATATTTTTTTTCCTCACGAGCCATGTATTTAACTAAATAGGGATTGATCGCTCAACTTGTTCATGTGGTCCTATATCAAAGATCGAGGTTGGAGAACAACGTAGCCAAGAAGATATATTGACAATTAAGAAGAGAGTATATAAGCGGTGCCTAGGTGATAAAATGTAGCCGCTTTCGAGAACCAATAATACCATTGGGTGTGTTAATCAAAGAACTCAATAGTAGATGTCGAATTTATTGACATGTACATTGGGTACATTGAGTTGGGCAATGAATGTATTGTGGAAACTTAACCCAGATCAGATAGGTACACTAAAAAAAGAAATTGCACGGGAGTTATTGACAATAATAACTACATGTATTAAAAGCTTACGATTTAATCTTATTTTATGTAGCAGGACATTATAACCCTAGGCATTTCACTGCCTCGGCTCCGGAGTGGATTCTTAATTTAGTTAGGGACTGGGGAAAATTGTCTCGCTTGGTGTTAAAGTATAAGGATTCAATGGAAAAAGAAGTGATTGCAGAGTTGGTAACAGATAACGTCTTAGTATATGACAATCAATAGAAAAGCTAAGGCAAATAAATTTGATTAACAATGGGCATTTTTAAAGTCAAGAGAGGGGATGATACCAACAGAACTGAAAAGGGCGAAAGTTCAAGTAGAAGAAGAGGACAATGAGTAAGAAGGCACATTTTTTTAATCAGTATTCTATCCATTTCAGATACATACTTTGATAATTTGTTCTTTGTTTGATTATTATTATTATCATCATCATCATCATAATCATTACAAATTATGTATTCTAATGGTCACTAGCTATAACAGTGCCACAAAAGTCTGTTGGATAGCTTAAGAGTGAGTGCCATACAACAAGTTAATGAAGTGGTTCTGAAGACTGCAATTAAGAAGATTAATGGAAAGAATTTTCGGTTTGCCTTATCTGTTGTCAGTTGTTGGCTATTGCTTGGATCAGAAGACAATCAGTCAATCACAAGGGCGGTTGTTTTTTATGAGTTCACGGTAAATGGTGGGTTAGTTACATATATGATCAAACACTTATTAGCTTGTACGTATCACTTTGGCGATAAGTGCATTTAGTTAGATTAATGCTCCATAGGTTGTATGTAGTTTTCTGGACTTCTAGTTGAATTGGTATTCGTTCTCCTAGTTAGAATGAGAAGAATATAAAGTTCAGAGTATATGGTGGCTTACAATTTTTATTTAAACATATAAAAAATGTGATGGACTTTTCTTAGCAGCGTTCTTGGAGAGCAGAAAACTCATTAACTGTATCATGTGCGGGTGGATTGTAGGGACATCATATGACTATTTGGAGTTTCAAGTGGGATATGTTAGGTGAAAGCTTCTTCTGTCAGTCAACAGAAAACAATGTCAAATGAAGCAGCCATGGTGGACCTTAAACCAAGCATTTCCACCAACTCCCTGAACTTTTAAAATAAGGCATCCACAAGGCAGCAAGGAAGCTGCAAATGGTGGATTCAGAGTGGGGAGAAATGGGAAAAGTTGAGGTGATATCAAAATGCTTAGTAGGAGCAGCCATGGTGGAAGGAGACCCACGAATTTCCCAGATCGACTTGACGCCGTGGGACCTAAAGTCCCTTCTCGTTGGCTACATCCAGAAAGGGCTCATCTTCCACAAACCCAATAACCCTCCAACGCTGCAGCAAAACATGTTTGTAATACCTCTCTTGAAAGCCTCACTCTCTTTAGCTCTACATTTCTTTCCACCTCTTGCTGGCCGTCTTGCGGTCACAAAGAATGATGATGGAACGACCTCAGTTTCAATTAACTGCAACAACAAAGGAGCCGAGTTTGTCGTGGCCCGTGCCAGTGACGTGACTGTCGATCAGCTCCTCGGGCCCGCCAACGTGCCTCCCCTCGTCCGTCCATTCTTCTCGTTTAACCGTGCGTGCAACTATGAGGGCATCTCCAAGCCTTTGTTGGGTGTCCATTTGACCGAGCTCGCCGACGGTTATTTCATCGGCTGTTCTATAAATCTCTGTGCCGCGGACGCTTTCTCATTTTGGCATTTCTTCAGTTCTTGGTCCGAAATCTCCCGTGGTTTCCGCAAGATATCTCTACCTCCCGTTCTCGACCCGTGGTTCCCGGAGAACGTCGCCCACCCGCTTCCTCTCCTGTTTGATCTCGAGAAAGAAATGCTATCGGATTCTTTCATCCCCCTACCATTTGAAGAAAGAGTGTTCCATCTAAGGAAAGAATACATTGGTCTTCTCAAAGCAAAAGCCAACTCCAAAATGGGAGTAAACTCCATATCCTCACTGCAGTCATACGTGGCTCACCTGTGGAGGGCAATCACCCGTTCCCGTTGTGTAAATGCCACCGAGGAGGTCAGTATATACGTGCCGATAGGCGCGAGATGGAGGCTGAATCCCCCTCTTCCGGAAGGGTACTGAGAGAATGCAATTTACAGCAGAGTGGTGAGGGTGAAATCCGGGGAGTTGCTGGGGAGGGGGCTCGGCTGGGCTGCCTGGGTAATACATCAAGTGGTCGCTGCGCAGAAACATGAAGAGGTGGTGCAGTTTTACAATGGGTGGGTGAGATCTCCGGCGGTGCCGCAGAAGAAGGAACTGTTCTGCGCCAACTTTCTGGGCATTGCAAGTTCTCCTAGAAACGATGTGTACGGCGTGGATTTCGGATGGGGGAAGCCGGTGGCGGCGAGGTGTGGGATGGACAATAAATCCGATGGGAAGTTCAGCCTGTTTCCAGGGTTGGAAGGAGATGGGAGCGTAGACATCGAGGTATGCCTTCTTCCTCAGACGCTTTGGGAAATGACAAAGAATTCATGGAGTTCTTTACCCGGTGAGCTACATCTATCATACTACCTCCCTCTATTTGTCTAGTTTTGACTTTTTTCGGTCAACTCAACTGTTTTCAATTAAATAAAATATATATTGTATTTTAATTAAATAAAATAATATTTTGAAAATATTTAATATAATAAATCTAATAAAACTCTTTTTGTTTAATAAAATATCATTTTCATTTAATTTGAGGTCAAAGTTTACCAATTTTAACCGAAAAAGTCAAAAGTAGACAAATACTCAAGGACGGAGGGAGTATATATAAAAGTTGAATCAAAATCAAGATTTCAATTTCAATTTTAGATCTAACGGCCCAATTTCAATTGAATGTGATTGAGCAAATCTAGACCATTGATTACCAGCAATGGTATTATTGTAATAAATTTAAAATGGGTGGTTATTCCTAATACTCTGTAAAACTATAGCACTGTTAAGGTACCCCAAGTCTCCAAATCTTCCCATCCACATCCGTAAAACTGTAAAAGATACGTGGTAATTAGATCAGCAGCACAAGCAGAGACGAATTTGGCATATCTTCATCTTAATCTCTGCTCTCGAATCGATCCGAATATAGCATTTAAACCCGAGGTCCGGCAAGGTCGAATCCTGTCAATGAACGGCAGATAGGTTTAAGCATGACTTTTGGTGATGGGTTAATGCGTCGGCGACTTGGGCCGCTGGACAGATCTAGATGACGGTGATTGAAGCCCTTATCCTCACTTCAGATCTTCATCAAAGCTCCCATCTTTGAAATCTCTGCTCAGCTCTGCCTTTATCTGTAAGCTTCTCCATAACTTGCATTTTTGTGTACTGGTTTCTTGTACTTTTCTTGAATTTGTATGCGCGAATCTGTGTGTGTAAAACTGGGAAAAATGATTACCATCAATGAATGAGGTTGAGGTTTTTGTGGCAAAGACTCTTTCTCAAGACATATCTGATTTGAGGGTTGTTTGATTTTATCTGCCAATTCTATTTTCTGGGTGGAGTTGACTATGACCAATGGCGGAGGAGAGGGGGGGCTTGCCAGGCGTGGAAATGCCCCCCACTGAATTCAGATCTATTGCAGCGTCCTTTCTTTCCTGAAGCACATTTGGTATTTTAATTTATTTAACTAAAACGATTTGGGCAGTTCTCCTTGCATGTTTTTCATTAAAAGCTTGAATTCTTTAATTATAGTTTTTTATTTGTTGTTTCAATTGAGGAATGATGATAAATTCATATTTTAGTTGGATACTTTTTTTGTGTGTTTTTGTTTGCTATAACGAGAGATTATTTATTATTAAATATACAATAGTACTGTTTTATTGTTTAAATTGAAAAATTATGATAAATTTATGACTTAATTGAACAATTTGTAGTTTGCATTTTTTCTTTCCTATTTGTGTTTGTGTCAAATTAATGATATTGTCATTTTATTGGAGTACTTTTTTGTAATTTTGTATTGGCTTTGGAAAAAAAAATCCGGGGGCGCTGCCCCCAGACCCCCGATATGCCCCCCTGCACTTTAGAACTCCTGGCTGCGCCACTGACTATGACTAAATATAGGGAGGTTTGAATGTTTCTGTTTTTTCTAGGCTGTTTAATAGAAACCTTTAATGTCAATTTCACAATGAGCACTGGTTGTGCAATGTTAATGTCTGACATCTTCTAAAGTGATTTATTGTTACTGTATTTATATACTTCCTCTGTCCACCATAGATCTTCCCAGACACTATTCACAAGATCAAACATTACTCAATTTGTTTGCTCATTTTTACTAGTCATTTCATAAAATAATATAGTCTTGTCACTGTAGTTTTGTAGAACTTCTCATTTAGTTTATTACTATATAAATTTTATTTTAAAATTTTACTCCTATAATCAATTAAATTGAATTGAAAATAAAATTGGTCAAGCTTTGTAACGCGTAATGAGAAGATCTTACATAGACGGAGGGAGTATTTCTTTTTTATTTTACATGCCAATATATGTGGCATTGGAGGGGTGATGTACATTTGGGGTACACTTTTGGTGTACCCCTAACATTTTTTATTATATTATTGAACAACGACCCTATCAAATTAAGTTAAATTCATAAGTGTGATAGTAAAAATGTCGTACTATGAGTTAATTAAAATGGGTCGTTACTTTTAAGCACCCTAGCAGTGTAGGTTGGGGTGGGGGGAGGGGTGTATGGTGAATAATAAGGCTGGGGGATGTGTATAAAAATAGTAGGGTTTGCTTTTGTACGTAGATGCGAGAGGATTACGATTAGCGGGGGAAGTAGGGGAAGGGGTAGACCTAGAAAGAATGGGAAAGAGGTGATTAGGCAGGATTTAGGTCTTCTCGACCTGACTGAGGATATGGTCTTAGATAGGAACCTTTGGAAAATTAGGATTAAAGTAGCTGGATAGGAGATCGATGTTGTAGAGGTTGTTTTGTAGTGTGTTGTATTTGTTTGGAATCTTTTGCTATTGCTTGTACTTGTTGCTTGTACTTGGTGCTCTATCTGTGTTATATTATGTTCCCTTCCATATTTTTGTGCAGGTGGAGCCGGGGGTCTCTAGGAAACAGTCTCCCTACTTCCGAGTAGGGGCAAGGTCTACGTACACATACCCTCCCCAGACCCTACTGTTGTGGGATTCACCTAAGTTGTTGTTTTTGTATGTAGATGCATGAGAAATCTCTATCTCTATATATACAAACAATGCTAGGAGGCTAAAATGAATAGTGTTCCCGTCTAAATTTATTGGGCTGGGTCACTGTCATTGGGCTGCATTTGGGTCGGATAACTGGATATGGGCTTCTGCAATTAGGCTATCCATTGGGTCAATCTTGGGATCCATTTCTTTAGCATATTTTACCGTGCAAAAGTAAATGAACCATGTTAAATGTATAGATATCTTTTGTCCAACCAGCATTTAATGCATGTCAAGTAGGTAAATACTCCCTCCGTCACAAATTATTTGCCACATTTGTATTTCCGAGGCAAAATATCAAGTTTTTTCATTTCATTTCATTTACATATTGGTATAAAAATAAAAAATAAAATTTACATATAAAAAAACTA